CGCTCTGCTTGCTCAGCCACCACTTGGCCACTGTCTCCAGGGGCTGTGATCACAGTCCTCCCTGGGCARGGTTCTTGGGCTGCTGGAAGCTGGCAAGGAGCCACTTCCTGCCCCTGCACCCTACAAGGCGGCTGTCTGAGTCTGCRGCCTGGGATGCAGGAATTCATGAAATCTGCAGTTGACAGCAGCGTCCTCCTCAGGAGACCTGGCATGCCGAGGGAGGAGGCAATAGCCAAGTCTCCCAGRAAAGATCGCAGGGTCCGCAGGACCCTGGAAAAGCACCGAGCAGGCACATTTCGCAACCGCTGAGGAGCAGTTGCAGGATGGCGGCAAGATGACCTGTGAGTGGTGCCACCAGCCCAGGGAGCCCTTAGTGGCCAACCAGTATAGGGATGTCGGCGCGGCCCATGACCGGGCTTCTGGTGGGACCCTTCTGGCAGGTCTCTGCCCCTCAGCGCCGGGGGCAGGGGTGAGGGACAACACTTGCTGTGAGAAGTCTCCATGGCAGTCTTAGCGAAGGCGCTAGTGGGTACGTAGATCGCAGAAGGCCTTCTTCCGCTGCTCACGCAGCTTCAGGCGAAATGGCTGTCAGACCTGTTGCCAGGGCCCAGCTGAGGAAGGAATGATTGGAGAACACGCGAGCACGTGAGGAAAACCGTTAATACTGGACAAGAGGCAGGCTTGCGCCAGGAACGGACGCGCGCGTGCAAATTCCGCGTGCCTGTGCAAAGTCTGCATGCACGTGCAAAGTCCAGGTGCTTGCACCAGATGCGGAAGAAATAGGCAAGGGAACTGCGTGCCTGGTGCTTGCGTGGGTCCGGGGGGACTGTTGAGTGCTGACACTGGGATGTGATTCAGATCCCGCTGGTCCACCTCCTGACCCAGTGAGGTTTCCGGATCATCTCGGAAGGGTTGTAGATGCTGGGTTTGAGGGGCAGCAGCTATGGCAAGGCCAGGGATCTCTCCCCTCAGACTGGTGCAACGACCCTGCCCCTCCCCAGAGGCAGCCAGGATGGCAGCACAGATGGGCTGAACTCCAATGGACGTGGGGGGGGAGGCAGTCAGAGGGCTGAGCAGGCTCTTGCTGCGGGTTGAGGGTAGCTCTTGGGGCGTGGAGCACGTGCGGACTAGGGTGATGAGCAGGTGTTTGGCTGGCAGTACCTGCACCTCTGGTACAGGGACAGGTCAGTGTCTCCTCAGGAGTGCTCTTCTCTGAAAAGGCGGGAAGTGGCATGGCCCCAATAGAAGCGCCCCCCATACCTCCAAGCTTGGAGCAGGGGGTAGCCTCCCTGGGCCTCTGAAGGGGAAAGCAATGTCATTAGATAGGCGGTGCACCAGCAGG